AAAAAAAAAAAAAAAAAGATATGCTTTTAGTCCTGACAGCACATATATTTTTTAAAAATCTGGAACAGTACAGGGAAGATTAGCATGGCCCCTAAGCAAGGATGACAAGAATTAGTGAAGTGTTGGTTAGTTCTTTCTCCTCCAGCCCCTTCAGTGTTTTATCATTCATTTATAATACAATTAGGCTCATTTGTTAGTTTTTGTATTCTATGTTGCATCCCCCCATCTGCAGCTTAGTTGGTTTTGCTGGCTGGCTACTTGTGGAGCATCTGAAAAGTCTGTACGACATTACTGCTGCGGTTCTAAGTCAAAAGAGCACTCCCAGTCTGTCACTACTCACCTGTTCCCATTCCCCTTTTCTTACCACCCCTTGACCATCCACCCCATGCAGGCGGCACTCAGTCTCTATAGTTCTGATTTAGCCTTTCCATTTCTTTTGCTCAAATAAACAGATGCTTGTGCATTTTCTTATGTCTCCTGTATCACTCCAAGTCCAATCAGGAGGAAAAACCAAACAACAATTTGAACAAAAAAACTTAAAGACTTAGTAACTTTGACTGGACACGAGAGATTGTCAGGTAAGAATTAAAGAGAATTCTAAAGAATACAAGGAGCGGCCTAGCCCTAGGGCTGGGCAAGAGTGCCCAAGGAAGTCCTTTTCTCCTCCCACCACGAAGATCCAGACTTCTGAGCGAGCTTAGCTATCACTCACTGGACGGCAGAGAAGTCACTATGGTGCTGCATCAGCAGGACCTGCTGGAAACCCACCCTTGAGGGTGCCAGGGGAGGGTGTGGAGCGAGGAGGGGCGGCGGGGAAAGCTGCAGAGTGCTGGGTGCTGCCAACCGCGGGGCACTGCAGGAGCAGGTGCTGGGGAAGTTGCGTGCAAGGCAGGATCCTGCAGAGCCAGTCCATCAGACTAGGAAGCAAAACCCATGGCGAGGGCCCTGAAAAGTCTTCTTTCTCCACTGCCCTTTACAGACAAAGCCTAACACTGCCAGCTGGCAAAGGGAATTTCAAGGGCCAAGGTTGACTTGTACAGAGCAGGGGAAAAGGTCAATTTGAAGATGACAGCCAATAAATTACATCTGGCACTCTTCTTATAAGAAGGGCAATACATACTTTGGGGCTTTGCTTTTTCCACTTAAGAGTAGGTACTAGGCCAGGCTTGGTGGCTCAGCCTGTAATCCCAGCACTTTGGGAGGCTGAGATGAGTGGACTGCCTGA